CATTAGTAAACTTCAAGAATGATTAAATCAAACAAATAAAATAATATTAATTAAAATAAGGATTTGGGACCAAACCCTCAGAAATATCAACCTTTCACGTCGACGTCGAAGGCAACTTCGAGAAGGACTTGGAATATTCAAGTCTCGCAAAGGTCGTATGATGTGATGTGTTTAGGCTAAGGTTAAGAAAGAGAGAGAGAGAAAAAGCTTAAAACTTAGAGAGGGAGATCAAGATCATGATCGTTTGATGCGGATTTTTAATGGTTTCCACTAAAATTTACTAGGCGAAAAACGTAAATTAGCATCGGTTCAAAACCCCCCTTTAGCACCGGTTTTGAACCGGTTTAGATTTGAGGGATGCCAAAAAAAAACTTTAGCACTGGTTCAAAACCGGTGGCAATTCTTGGTGCTACAAAACCTTGCCACATTTTTTTTTGGTATTTAACAATAATTGGCACCGGTTTGGGTTCAAAACCGGTGCCAATTGTGCCCCAAAAAAATAAAAAATAAAAACAATTGGCACCGGTTCGGTGCCAAAATCAGCGCCAAATCAGCGCCATTAATGGCCTAAAAAATCAAAAAAAAAAATTGCATTTTTTTCACCGAAAATGTACCAGATACTTATATATAATCGTAATAAACATGAAACACATATTTTTTTTCTTCAATAACTTGTAATATTACACTTTAAAAAACTGAAAAAACTACAAAATCATGATACTGCAGCATAAATTTTCCTAGTTTGCATCAGACCATATTTTGGCAGATTATTTGCTGACAGAAGTTATATGGAAAAGATGGAGAGAGCTCAAGAGATAGCAAGACTGAAGTCTTTAGGGTCATTTCGCATAAAAAAAACACTTGATGAGAAGCCTCTCATCGATAGCTAACCCCTTCACCTGACTTTACCTCACCAATGAGATACATTGGAGTTGCTCCATTTGCATCGCCAAGAATTTTGAGGGCTGCATCTGGATTTACCACAAGCACCATTCCAATAAATAATATTCCAAGGTAAAGCACAATATTCCAACATTAATGCATTAAATCAATCAATAGGAAATCAATAAATAATATTCCAAGGTATAGGTTCACCAATAAATAATATTCCAAGGTAAAGCACAATAATCAAACATTAATGCATAAATTAACCAGATCATAAAGGGCTTTCACTACGTATTATAAACAAAGAATTAATTTACCGGTATTAAATCGCATCTCTCGAATCTTGACTTAACCATTTATAAATTAACTGCCTATTGAAATTAAGCCTAAACATCAATTCTCATCTCTTAAATCTCGAATTAATATTGCATAAATCATACAATTAAATCTGGCCAAATCTAATTGCATAGCATTAAATCAATCAATAGGAAATCAATCAAGCATTGACAATCAACAATAATAAACTACCCCTTCATATTATTTATGGTTCCCCACAACCCTAGAATTAAAACTACTTGCACATATCTAAATCTAAATTAAGAAAAACAGTTAAACGAGACATAATTAATCAAAGCAATTAAATTACTGAAAATAAAAAGGGAAGAAATCGTTACCAAAATAAACGGAAATAATGAATTGTATAAATCAAAAGTGTAGAGAGAAAACAAGAATATTCACCAAAGCTTAAAACTAAAATCTAGAAATTAACTAATGAGGAGAACCATACTCGTCACTTGATAAAAACGTATTTATACATAAGCACAAAAATCCTAAATAAAAACAACAAATTAAATCGTCAAAACACCCTAAGAAACACGCGCCTGGTCGGGCGGAGCTTCGCCCGGCCGGGCCCGCCTTTTTGAACATTGAATCTTCACTCGCGCCTGGTTAGGCGCGAGATAAGGCGAACCAGCGAAGGGCTTCTTTTCTTCTCTATGCCTCGCCCGGCCGGGCGCGCCTTAGGGCGAGGGCTTACCTGGTCGGGCGAGCTCTCGGGCAAGTTGGACCTCTTCAATTGGGCTATTTTCTTGGCCCAATTCGCATTTCCTCTTTTGGTCGTTAAGACTCGGTCCATTGCCATGAACTCTTCTTCTTCACCGAGCCCTTAATCACCGGTTTGATTGCTCCAACGTGGTCTTGGGTTACGGAATACGGTCATAATAATGCGATCCCACTCCAATGCTCATAGTGGCTCAAATAAGTCCGGGAAAATGCTTCAAATCTGCAATTTCCTATAAAACAATACCAAAACTACGAAAACACTAGAAAACGCATATTAGTAATAAAAGTGACTCCAAAGAGCCAATAATACTCCTAAATATGACCAAGGACGGGGGTAAATCTCTATATAAAATTAACATATCAAACTCCCCCAAGCCAAACTTTTGCTTGTCCCAAAGCAGAGAGCTCATCAATGAACAAATAAAACATACTTTACCCCAAAGTCTATTAAAACCAAGCATAACCAATTCAAGGCAGATCTAACAAATATGCATCAAAATCAACCAATCAAATCCATCCAACTACTCATCCTCCCTAACAATTGTCAAATAGAGCAAACCACAAGTGTATATGGAATAAGACTAGTGCTCACACACTCTTCACTCTTTTATGTGGCGGATATAAAATGTATCTGATCACTCTCCATCCAACCCCTTTATGTGAACAATGCCCTCCCAAACTCACAATACTCGTGTATTTAAAAGACATACACTCAACCTATCTAGTAGTCGACTCGAAATATATCAAATCATTCTTTGCATTGATAAACAACTACTTTCACATCCATACAACTCTATGCACAAAGGTCGGAAGGTCTTCAAAGCTTGTAGTGTAAGGCTTAGGTAAAGGGGTAGGAAAAATTTGGGAAAAAGTGAGAGTAAAGCCATGCTTAAGGGAGCCAATCCTAATAAACCACGATCAAAAATTAATAATGATCAAATCATCTCCAACACAACTCAACTCTACAAAATTTCACCAAACAACCAAGACCTGGCAACTGGGTCATTTAGGTCGGGTCAAGTTCGGGTCGGGTCGGGTCATTTCGGGTTTCGCGTTGATTTCGGGTCGACTGATAATCGGGTTGGGTCAGATATCGGGTCAACACTTCGGGTCGAGTTTGGGTCGGGCCGAGTTCGGGTCGGGTCAATTTTCGGGTGCAAATTTCGGGTAAACTTCGGGTCGGGTCATATTCGATCGATGCACTAGGTTAAATTCAACTCTGTATATATATTTATATATTTTTTGATGAGAAACTCACTATATTTATTAAGGCTACTTTTTTCATGGAATATACTCATATAGTAATTGTCAGCTTTTATTGACCTTGTTTTTTTTTTTGATGTTTAGATTGAGAATCAATTTTAGGATCTCCTGAAACTAAGAGGGATGCTCTAACTAATTGAGTTATACCTCACTCTCTTATTGTCCTTAGTTTTAATACTCTTATTATCATTGTCACTGTTCACTGTTGTAATAATTTATTTGTATTATTCTTATAATAATTTATAATAATTTGTAAGTGCTCCATTAATTTTAACTGGACATACATTGATACATGTATGCAGGCATGTCGTGCAGGAAATTGATCAACAATAGACTTCCTATTATAATAATCAGTAATTTACATTATAGAATTTTACCAATTGAATATTAAAATATTTATTGTGGTGGCGATTTCAACAAGTACACACAATGACACAAGAGTGACAAGACTATATTTTTTTCTAATAAAGACTTAAACAGTAGTAGCGTGGATGGATGTCAAGTCTCCAAGTACACTTACTCGCACTATGAACTTTTCTTAACCGATTCGATTAGATATATGTTATGACATGCTTCGTTTGAAATTAAATTTACTGATAAATTGCAAATTATGAGGTCAAACCAGCCAACATATACTCAATTTTATTTTTGTGACCGATTCAATCAAAAATAGGTTATAATGCTTCGTTTGATAAGAAAATTTATTGTTAATTAGGAATTCAAACAAGTCAACTTAAACTCGGTTGTAATTAGTTCTTATAATAATATATGTGATCAAGTACTTAAACATAAGGGTGGAAAACGACACAAAATTTTATTATAAAGTTGATTAACAACATTATTGTAAACCTATCAGATTCCAATTAATTTTTTTCAAACGAAACTCATAACAAGGTTTTTCCTATTTAAGGTAATTTGATCTCAAATTCAAACTTGATAAGATTAGATTAAACTTTTTTCGGCCTACTTAATAGCTCAGTCTCTGACTCTCCGGTCTAAATTACTTCATAGGATGTCTCATCACTATTAATATATTATGAACTAATGAATTATGAAGTATGCACTTATGCAAATATGCTTGTATCTATCTACTACTCAATTAAACAACTAAACTAATGTAATAAATGAATATTACTTTTTGATTGAATATAAGATCATTATCGTGCATTATATATTGATGTTTATATTTATAAAAACAAAAACTTATTCAGTTATAAACTTATAATGACTGAGTGTTGGGTAATTGGTGCACAACACAATATGATACTTCCTCCGTTTCTTTTTAGTTGACACGTTTCTTTAGTCACGTTTGCTAATGCATAACTTCAGCCATTTATTTCCTTAATCACCGATAATAAAAAATTATGAAAAGTTGATATTTTGAAAATAAATATCGTGACGAATGTTAAAAGATTCTACATAACTACATTTTTCATTACATATAAAACACAAAATACGGTTAAAGAGGAGTGTGTTAATAAAGTCAAACCGTGTCAACTTACAAAAAACAGAGGTATTATTAATTAAGTGAAATATTCTCATATTTAGATATAAGATTACGAACACACTTGTTGATGAATTAAAAAATTTCAAACTTTCAATTTTGACCAAGTTACAACTTAGAAGTGAAAATTTAAGAGGGAAACAAAAATAAAACATTTAATTTGGTTAAAAATTGTAGGAAATTCTTCCCCCCAAATGGCTAAAACTCCAAAATTGTTAGGGGGAAAACTCCCTCCAAATTTCCAAGAGTAAAACGTAAAGGTAAAGTAGTAAACTAGTAAAGTGACTAAATTCTACCTCAGCCGTTTTCACTCTCTCTTTTGTCTTCGCTCTTCTGAATTCTCAAATCTTATGCTACTCATCTGATCTCAAGCGCTCCGGCAAGGCAAGGTTTCCCTCTTTCTATCTTCCTCTTCTTTATTGCGGTTTTTTGTTTCAAATTTTATGATTTCAATTCAAGTTTTGTGATTGATTGATGTTAATTTGATACTTTGAGATTAGGTTTTGATTTTGCAATTTTTTTCACTTATACGAAGCCAATTCATGAGCTTCTTGTACTCGAGGTGCGCTTAATTTGATTTGCATGTGGTTCTCCATTCCCTCAGTTGAAGCACGCCTTCTAAGCTTTCTCTCCTCCATTGAAGCCAACCTTTGAGGTAAATATTTTCTTTTAAGATTATTGAATATCAATTAATTTCTCAATTTAGAGCTGAATTTCAGATTATCAGATTTAAGCTTTTTGAAAGATAGCCAATTTAGGGTTCTTGAGACATTACGTTAAGGTAGCCCCAATAAAATCAACTATTGATAAATTCCAATTCATTCCTCTGTTTTTGAAGTCACACTTTGGTTACTTTAATTATCAGTGTAGTCAATGTATGGATACTTTCCATCATGTAGTCATACAGTCACGCAGTCATACCTCCATCTCAATCAGTTTGATAATCCTGTTATGTATACATTTTAAGTTGTACACTGTTGTTTACTTGTTTAATGAGTAAAAGCTTCCATGCTTTATTTATTTGATTATGATGCACAACCATGATATCTGTTGTTTGGCTAGCATGTTGTGCTTTATGTGTCATACACTCATACATGTCCTTTTTGAAAAGATGTTATTGTATTTAGGACTCATCTAACTGCCTATTTGATTGAAAATTTGTATTACCTATTTGTCCTTATATTTCTCATTTAGGTTGACCTCTTTGTACCATTTGCTAAAATTCATCTTAGCTTGGACATCATTAATGAAAGAATTGAAGGGATGAGGAAGATGATTTTGTTTACTAAACTGTAATTGCAAAAAACTTAATGATATTCAAGCTTTCAAGATTTCCACCCTGATCTGAAGTATGCCTAATAATACCAGCCTCCTAGATTTCCACCCTGCACTCTCAGCTTTGATAATTTCTTAACTATGATATTATTGAAATTATCTCACAATTGCTGCCCAAAATACTTACTGGTAACTTATTATCAATTTTTGAATGTACATAAAAATAGAAGGCTGATTTTCCCTTTTTGATTAGTTTAGATATTATTATTGATGTTATTCTTGCTTTTTTTGCAACAATGGATGATCATATTATTTACGACGAGCCTATTATTTCACCAGAGGGAACAGTGGATGAGTGTACACCAGGAAGAAGCCAATGTTCGTACACAAGAGAAAGAAGGCGGTAATCCTGAACTTACAGTTGACAACAACAATGTGAGCACTATGGAATCTGGATTTCAAGTTGTAGAAAAGAAACGGAGTCTAGTTTGGCCGGAATTCCTCACGTTTGACAAGACGAAATCTAGTGATGGGAAACAGAGGTCAATTTGCAAACATTGCCAAAAAGCATCCTTCATAACCGACCCCCATTATGGAACCCAAAATATGAAAGACATCTAAGAAAATGCAGTGCATATGAGAAATATTTGAAAAACCAAGGAGGAAACGATTCAAACAAAGGTAAAATCTTTAACCAATTTGTGTACGGAAATCTGGTAGCTAAAGCCATAATAAAACATGGGTATGCTTTCTCTTGGGTTGAGCAGATGGTAATAGAGAAATTCATTCATATTTAAGTGATGATGTAAAACTCATTTGTAGGAACACTGGTAAAGCTGATTGTTTAAAAATGCATAAAACTTTGAAGGCTCAGTTAAAGGAAACACTTAGTAAAGTCTCTAGTCGTATCTCATTAACATGTGATATGTGGACCTCTTGTCAACTGAGGGATATTTGTGTCTCACAACTCACTATGTGGATGATAATTGGAAATTAATTAGTACAGTGCTGAACTTTACTCATATTGATTCACCACACACTGGAAAGACCATGTATGCTGCTGTGTTGTCCATGCGTCAAGATTGGGGTATTGATGATAAGATTTTTTTGCTAGCTTCACATTAGACAATGCCTCTAGTAACGATAGAATGCAAGATTATTTGAAGGAAACTCTACTTGCACGAGATGCTTTGTTGAATAATGGTGAATTTTTTCATGTACGATGTGCTGCACATGCATTAAATCTCATTGTTAAAGGTGGACTTAAGGTCATTGAACATAAAGTTGAGAAAGTAAGACATTGTGTCAAGAAGGTAAAATTCTGAAACAAGAAAAAACACTTTTCGATCTTGTGTAAGTCTAGCTAAGATAAAAGAAACAAAATCATTGTGGCTTGATGTTCCCACGAGGTGGAACTCCGTGTACATGATGCTTGATAGGGATATCTTATATCGTTAGGCTTTTAGGGAGATGTTTGAAGTTCAAAAATGGCGTCCTACCTTTGAAGAGTGGGATGTTCTTGAGAAGATTCGAGATGTTTTAGAACCCTTATATGAGATAACTAAGATGTTCTCGGGAAGTGAGTATCCTACCTCAAATCTTTATTTTGGGAATGTTTGGAAGATTCTCATGCTTTTGATAGAGTTGGAGCACGATGATGATGATGTTTTGAGGACAATGGCAATAGAAATGAAGAGCAAGTTTGATATGTATTGGTTTAACTCAGAACAAGATGATTATGGAATGTTATTTGCATTTGCTATGATTCTTGATCCTCGTTGCAAATTATCAGTGCTAAAGTTTTGTTATGAAAACATATTTGGAGATGTGGAGTCTACCTTGAGGGTTAGTGATCTCCATCTTAAGTTGGAGAAATTTTATAAGCTATATGCCCAAACTGGAACATCATCGACATTGAACAACAACACTGATGTGGCACATGCCTCACATTGCAGAACCTCCCTAAGCAACACTTCAACTTGAAACCGCAAGCGAAAATTCGACTATTTTGCGGTAACTGTTCTTTTGTTATTTTATTTTGACAACCTTTGCTCCTTTTGGTTCCCTCTTCTTGTGGTTTGTTGTTGCCTAGGATGCTGCTTGATAATTGATGCATGCTGCCTCTAGTTTTGGGCTATGCTGCTGCTTTGTTGGGTTTCTTTGCTTGGTCTGGTTGTTGTTGATTTATGGCTGCTGCTTTGCTGGTTCTTTTGTTGTTGCTGTCTGCCTTTTTTTGTCTTTCATGCTACTATTACCAGGTTGTTTGCTGATAAGTTTATGTTGTTTTGTTTGGTGATGTGTTTTATGGTTTGTCGTTGACTCATTGTGTTGAATTCAGGAATATGACGATAAAGAGGCCTCATCTTCTTTTCATGAGAGCTTAATATTGGATGTTTACCTTGAGGACCCTAAACTAGATCGGAAAGCGGAGCTTGACATATTAGCTTTTTGGAAAGAAAATGAGCATCGATATAAAGGCATTTCTCATCTGGCTAGAGATATTTTGGCCGTGCCCCTGACAACCATCGCTTCCGAATCAACTTTCAGCATTGGGAGTCGAGTATTGAATAAATGGAAAAGTTCATCAATTCCTGAAAATGTGGAGGCTTTAATAACAACTCGTAGTTGGATGTACTCTTTTGAAAGTAAGTTTTATTATATATTTTTAAAATACGTATATTCATATTCCTGCATTCTTGTTTACAGCTGTACATTCTTGTTTCTTTATTTTTGTATTTATAGTGTATTTGCTTATATTATTGTTTTTATATTTATGTAGCAAATGAGGATGATGGTTTTTTTGGTTCTTATGTGGATTGGGCGGCGGCTCCCAGTGTTAACTGTAAACAATTTTAAGAGTCGAATATTAGAGTATAATAATTTAGAATATTTTGTAATTTCATTTGGTATTGAACATTATGTACGCATTATTATTGTACTATTTTTTTTCTAGATTTGTGAGAATTGTGACTTTTATTTCAAGCTTTAGTAAATTTTTTCTCATTCTTATGGACAAACTTCGTAGAATAGTCGTTAAATTTTAATCTTCTTACGAATTTTTAATAACTTATAAAGAGAAAAGGCCAAAGAAATCGAGAAAAGTAATGCTGAAAATATGTAAATTACTTACATTGTTAGTCTGTTACACATTACAAATTAAAAAAAAAATTAAGTCATTTTGATTGCGGTTATTTTCTATTTCGGTTTGCTCAGGTTAAATTGTTAGCTTAAATAGATTCTGGTCATTTCAGGTATAAGGTAATCTTAGTTCGGGTCACTTTGGGTTTCGAGTCTATTTGGGTCAATTAATCCAAGTTAAAGGTCGGGTCACTTCGGGTTGGGCGGTCAAGTTCGGGTCGGGTCACTTTGGGTCTCGGGTCAACTTCGGGTTGGGTCATTTAGGGTTTCGGGTCAAGGTCGGGTCAAATCCACTTCGGGTAGGGTATAGGTCGGGTCGGGTTGATTTCGGGTTTCGGGTGAATTTTAAGTCACTGTTTTCGGGTCGATTTCGGGTCATAGGGTCTAGGTCAGGTTTTCCAGGTCTAGTCCTCATGCCATTGAGTAGGGGGGTGGGGATCAAGATCAAACACTTTGGCAAATTAACATATGTTAAACTAATATTCCTATTGTTCAACCTAAAATGCATAATTGGTCCATTATTTGTTTGAACAACATTTAAAGATGACAAAAATTCACACGTAATTTAATTTCACAATAAGTGGGATAATGCATATCAACAAATTTTCGTATTCCGATGTCATTCATAAACCTCCTAACATGCTCAAACTATCCCAAAGTTTCAAGAGTATCTCGGTGTAACCACCGAGAGCGTTTGTAGAGGTTGATGAGACGTTGACGTTGCGTCGAGGTTGTAATCCTGATCGTCGGCCATTGTTCTAGTTGCAAATCCGGATCATATGAAGTACTCGACCACGAACCACGACCAATTTGACTTCTTGCCCTCTTTGTAGTCATCTTGTATATGGGTCTTTTAAAAAAAATATGTTTATAACCGAACCAAATTGGTATAGGAATGTAGGGGGATGAAGAGAGGAGTAAGAGGATGTAAATTTTTTTGATTTTGGGTTAGAATTGGAGGAGAGAATCTAAGAGAGAAGGTAGAGAAATTTGAGGTTTTAGAGAGAGAAACAATGGAGGAAAAAGAAAGAAAAGAAGAAGAAGTCACGGAGGAAGATATAGGCGCGCTCGATCGGGCGGCCTCTCGCCTGGTTGGGCGATCTGGCGAATTAAAATTTGCTAGGCTCGCGCCCGGTCGGGCGAGATTAAGACTCCAAGTTTGCTTCCTCTTGCGCCCGGTCGGGTGCCATCTCACCCGGTCAAGCGAGTTTGACTCTTTTTCGATCTTTGTTTTTGCGCCCGGTTGGGCGGATGTTCCCCCGGTCGGGCGATTTATAAGCCAAAATCCTTCTTTCTCTCGCGCCCGGTCGTTCGTCCAATTTTTCCTTCTTTTCTTCAAGATTTGGCTACCTCTTTTTCTCCAACCTGGACACAATACTCTAAAACACATTAGATTCCCTCCTCTCTTCCTCTCAAAAGACAAAGATAAGGGAAAAACTATTCTAAAAAACAAGAAAAAATACAAGTTGCCTCCCGTAAAGCGCTTGTTTATCTAGGTCCCGCACGACCTTCTTACCATATGGCATTCAAGATGAGATGGAATCGATTTGGTGAAGTAATTCAACTGCACCAATCGTAGCCCATTTTTGATATAAGACAGGTGGTTTCTTGCTACTAGCTACTCGAGATTTCTCTTTGGCCTTGAATTTCTTCGTAATTTTGCTTGATTGAGCAAATGCCACCCGATCGGGTGGGACTTTCACTACGGGCTCGATTTTCGCAACGTGCTCATTTTTCTCCACTTGTTCATCTTCAAACCCAAGCCCTATACAATTTAGAGCTCTTTCTTTAGCATCCACTTTAACTTTCCATGTAGTAGTTTTTCCAGCGGAAGATGCAACACGAAATACCGGCTCCAAGGGATCTCCATCTTGGGGCTTATTAGAAAATTTAGTGACATTGACCACACCAATACTAAAGCACTTTTCCTCTAACATGGGACTTTTAGGGACATTATTTAGATTAAAAGTAATGTTATCATCCCCTACACATAATGTAATTTTACCACTTTTCACATCTATTATTGCCCCTGCAGTATGATGGAATGGTCTACCCAAAAAAAATCAGAATTTTCAAATCTTCCTCCATATCAAGAACAACAAAATCAACAGGTATATAAAATTTACCTACTCTAACAGGAACATTCTCTAATACACCTACAAGGTATTTAATAGAACAATCGGTCATTTGCAGAGTAATATTGGTAGCTTTTAATTTACCCATATTTAATTTAGGGCTCACGGATAATGGCATGACACTTACACTAGCACCCAAATCACATAAAGCTTTATCAATCATCAGATTACCAATGTGACAAGGAATAGAAAAACTACCCGGATCTTTTAGTTTAGGTGGAGATTTATTCTGTAATATAGCACTACATTCTTCAGTAAAAGCAACTGTCTTTACCTCACTAATAGATCTCTTTCTGGTCAAGATTTCTTTCATAAATTTAGAATATGCAGGAACTTGAGTAATTAATTATGTGAAAGGAACTGTTACCTGCATATTCTTGACAACCTCCAGAAACTTACCAATTTGCTTATCTAGCTTACTCTTAAGATGTCTATTAGGAAATGGTAGTTTGATAATTGATTTATGTACTTCTCCACTCTTGTCTTGAGTTTTAACCTGCAATTCATTATTAGAAGAGTTAGTTTTACTCTGGTCCCTGCAGGGTTAGTAACAACAATTGGTATAACAGAATCAGGATTAGCAATTTTTGAAATGATAGGTTCTTCATCTTTGGGCAAGAAGACCCATCGTATTTTGAACCACTTCTCAGCGTAATTGCATTCACGTGATTTGTAGGTTGTACTGGCTGCGATGGTAGGGTTCCCTGCTGGCGAGTTTGCAGACTAGAAGAAAGTTGCGCAATTTGATTATCCATGATTTTATTATGTGCTAGAATCAAGTCAATTTGCGCATCTCTAACCTGCATCTGTTTCTGCATATTAACTAACATTGTTCTGATTTCTGATAAGCCAGAATCAGAAGGAGTAACAGTCTATTGTGGTCTCTGATGTGGAGATTGATAGTACCTTTGATGCGGTTGTTGTACCTGTGGTGGGGGGTTAGGCACATTCGTACAATTGTACGACATATTTTAATTATTTTTCAACCCTGCATTGTAGGTGTTAGAGTATGGACTAGTTTGTTTATAGGCTTGAAAAGCATTAATCTTCTCAAGCAAACTGGTACATTCTTGAGCCCAATGACCTACAAGACCACAATTTTCACAAATTATTGCAGAGTTAGTACCAATAGCAGAAACATTAGCAACATGAGATCAATTAGAATTATTAATATTGTCTAGTTTCCGGCTAATAGCAGTCAATTGTGCTTGCAAAAAGGATATAGAATCGACTTGGTGCTTTCCCTTATTTGCAAATCCCCTGGGATTCCCATATTGGGAATTATGAATAGCTATCTCTCAACAACATTACTCGCTATATTCACATCTGAATTCATAAATCTTCCGTTAGCTGCATAGTCCAAAATCATTCTTGAATTATATCCAAGCCCGTTGTAGAAAGCTTGCATTATCTGCCACTGTTCTAGCCCATGATGGGGGCATTCTCTCTGCATATCCTTGAATCTTTCCCATTCTTCATATAAAGATTCATCCGCTTCTTAGGAAAAATTTAAGATCTTACTCCTTAACAAAGTTATTCTCTCTGTAGGGTAGTATTTGTTATAAAAATTCAAAACAAGAGTTTCCCAGTCACTAATACCAAGTGCAGTTCTATTCAGTCCATTGTACCATAATTTAGCTTTACCACATAAAGAAAATGGAAAAAGAATCTCCCTGATTTGGTCCTGCGTGATCCCAGCTTGTCTAATAGTGTTGCAATATTGGCAAAAATCCAAGATGTGAAGATTTGGATCTTCACCCTTAGCTCTGCTAAATTTTTTATTTCGATCATAGTAATAAACTGGGGTTTAATCTCGAATTGTACGCGCTCGAGATTAGGTGTAAGAGCAAGATGTGGAAAACCCGCCAAGGACGGCTGCGAATAATCGCTGAGCTCGCGAGGTGGTCGAGCCGTCATCTCTGATTCTGGTTCTGAAGGAACTTCTGTGTCACTAGAATTAAATGGGAGTTCCAAAGGTGTATTACCCTCAGAAGTAACTCGTACCTGTCTAAAAAGGTTTTTCTGTCTATGAAAAGAATGTTCGATTTCAGGATCAAATGGAATATAACCTGATCTAGAACTCGCGGGCATAAACACAGAACTAAACAAACAGATATGAGAAACTGTCTCAAAGAACTTGCGTTCTCTAAGACGAAAGAAAATAATCTAGACTACAGAAAAAATTAGGAATAAAAATAAAACCGTTTCCCCGGCAACGACGCCAAATTTTGACAAACTAAAGTCGTATCACCTAATCAAAAGAATTACCTAAGTCCTCTATCTAAAGTAGTTAGGGAAGTAGGGTCAAATCCACAGGGAAACAAGTCTTTCTATTCCTAAATAATTAATATAATGTAAACTATTAAGTAACCGAATTGTTGTTATGTGAAAATTAAACTAGGGGAAAATAATTAAAGCAAAGCAAATTAAATAAGGGAGAAATCAATAAAACAAAGCCTAGGGTATAGGTTCACCAATAAATAATATTCCAGGGTAAAGCACAATAATCAATCATCAATACATAAATTAACCAGATCATAAAGGGCTTTCGCTACGTATTATAATCACAGAATTAATCTACCGGCATTAAATCGCATCCCTCGAATCTTGACCTAACCATTTATAAATTAACATGCCTATTGAAACTAAGCCTAAACATACATCTCTCGAATCACAAATTAATATTGCATAAATCATACAATTAAATCTGGCTAAATCTAATTGCATAGCATT